AACCCGCCCCTAGAAAAAGGGTGAAAGGACACTACTGGGGTGAACTTCCTACGCCTCGATGAATGGCCATGTAAATCTAAGTGGGCTGAACTTCAGCTCCCAGGCAGCCAAGTCGCTCATCTAGCCTGCGCTTTTTCGCGGCTCGGGATTGCAAGATGGAGACTGACGGGCTTGCAGGTTCCGCGCTCAACCAGCTTCAGTTGAAATGGGAATGTCAGGGAAGTAGGTTGCTTGTGTGCGATCATAGGTGTGGGCTATGTGAGGGTATGGGGCCAACCACGCACGGCTTTCAGGGGGAAAAGCACAGGGCTCTTGCAGAGGCAGGTGGCAACACGTAGCTTCTTTTACGTTTAGAACAGCGGCTCAAAATTGGGGAGCCCTGGTGACTGGCGTCCTGTTGGCATCTTCCAAAACCATCCAAACATGGGGTCCTATTTTGAGACTCTCCCACAAACCTGGGGTAGATAAGGACGTGGCCAGAATGTAAGTCGCACAAGGAAACGAAAGAAGCAATAGCAAAACACATTTAGAAAAGATGCTATTCCTGCCAGATCTTTGGTTCTCTTACCAAGCCAATTCCACTGGTAGCCTGAAATCAGGGTACCCCACGCCTTTCATTTATACCACCTGGGAATATGGCTGCAAATCCTCTTTCCGTGCCGTTGCCGCCAAAAAAAAAGGCATCCGGTAAGTATGGAGCATAACGCACGTTTGAAACCCACGAAACGGACTTGGCAGGAAACTTCCCTGGCTTGAAGTCCCCGCCCCGGCAGATACACCTATGGCTTCTTTACTGGGCTTGATGCCTGCACCAGCACAACCTGTTGCGAGTGGGAACAGCAATTGTCTCAAAGCTGCTTGCCAAAGAGCAACCAAGGACTTAGCTGGCTTACCCTCACATTTCACCTACCCGTCCGCTGGCAAGTGGGGAAGCAAGCTAAAACCCCCAGGTCACGAAAAATGTCCGCGCCTGCCAGGAAACCTGGGGCCATGTTCTCATCCGAGCTGAAAGAAGCGGCGGAGTGCGACATCTGTAGGTCCCACCCTGCAAAACGCGCCCCCGAATTTCGGGCTGACTGGTTCTGACGTGGTCAGAGAAAGGTTTGGGGCTCCCAATATAAGCCCAAACTTCAGGCAGCAGAACCTGCTCAACTGGGTGCTGTTCATGTGAATGGGCTTGCAAGGGGCCCTGCACCGTCTGTTTGTTTTGTGCCATGGTCTCTCACTGATGGCCGTGGCCATGGTTCCGTGAATGAGAATCCTTATTCAGCTTCCCGCAACTTGGTGGTTCGGAGCCCAGTGGCTTGGTGAGGGGGTAGTGTCCCATTCACCCTCTACAAGAACCAGGGGTTCAAATGCCCAAACCACCACATGTGCTTGTCTACAACACCTCTAAGAGGTTGTTGATGACCAGCCCAACCCCAGCGCCTACTGAAGGAGTCGATCTTTTGACCATTGCAAACCAAAGAACCACAATCAAAACTATACACTGGTTCCCAGATTTGCGGGCTGAGTCCCGTAGTTGTGAGAAAGTTTCACAGACAACTTAGGCAACTTTGACCGAACCTTGCGGTTCCGCCGACTTTTCCGCCCGCATTGCTCGCAATCGGCGGCTCCCCCAGCCTGAGTCGGCCCTAAGGGCCCAGGGCCCTCTGAACCCACGACTTCCTAGAAATGGGCGTGTCTCAAATAGGGGAACCCATTGTTGGTTCTTAAAGGGAAATTAGAGGAAACCAACCATCTTGTTTTGGGGGGGGTCGTGTTCTAAGCAAAGTTGAAAGTGCTCACTTGGGCCAAGACAATTTCCTCGGCGAACTTGCATAGAAGGGATCATCTTGAATGGGGACGATGGAAAAACAACATCGCCTTGCGAAGCATTGTCAGAGCCGGTTGTCAACCAATGCATCACCAGGCGCTTGAACTTCCCGTGGCTGCACCCGAAGGGTCTCGCTAAACCCATGAACTAGCCAGCGTTGCTTGGTTGTTCAAACCAAGTAGGTGAGAACCAGGCTTATAAGGGGACTAACCGCAGCTTCCCCAGCTAGAACCATGGCTATAACCGAATTGCCAATGAAGTTAGTTGAACATCCCAGGACCTTTGTGACGCCATTGGGATAGTCGCTGATTTGTTCGTCGCCGAAAGTGCTTGAGCCAGGACATTGGTCGCTGGATGGTGGTGGAAGGGGACCTCAAGGGACACGAAGCACTTGCGACCGCGTCCAGTGCTTCTCCTTTGAAGGTCGCAAAAGTCCAAACAAACAAAAGCGAGAACCCTTTTTGAGACCCTTCTGTACCTAACCGTGATCACCTCACTGCTCTACGAACATCCAGGTTCGCCCCGATTGAATCGCTGTGGCAGCACGCTACCGCCAATCACGAGCGTTGGCACTGTCGCCTGGATAGGGCTTCTTTGAATCTCTAACTCACTTGCTGAGTGGATGGCCCAAAAAAGTTCAAACTTTAAATTTACCACTAAAGTGGTCTGCCCAAAAAGTTGAAAGTTCATGAACTCAGGAATGGCCTTCCCCAAGTGCCTCAAGCAAGTAATGTCAACCTTAGAATCCCAAGTACCGTACCGCACTAGTCATGGCTCCCCTTTCAATTTCTCTGCTTGGCACGGTCCGGATGAATCCGAATTCTGCACGAATCAACTTCCCAGTTCTTCCTGGGCATCCCTGGAACGATCGGCTAAGAACACCGCTCTGAGATGAATCACGTATACCAACTGCAGAATGTGGTCCATGTCTTTCGACCATGAATCCATGTGGGTGTCTTTCTCTTTGAGGGAAATTATTCCTTTTTTGGTGGGGTTAAAGGGAAACCCAAAAATCACAAACCCACCATTTTCGGAAAAGAGACAAAAAGACCACGCCCCTGCGTCTTTCGGCCGAGCCGCCGAGTCAAGCCGGGCGCTTCGCCACGAGGGCCGCGGCGAAGCCCGTACGCAGCTCGGCCCCCACCTGAGAGCTCGGGTCCCGTCCGACTCGGGAGGTGCTATTGAACGGAAACCGCCGAAAAGTTCGAGGGGGACTGGATCCATTTCCATTTGCAATCCTTCTTACAAAACCTCCGGAAACCCATGGATCCTTCTTCCTACAACCAAACTGCCAATTTGGCCATGGGTCAAAAGCCAAATCGTACCGCCAGTGAACATCCCAATCCCCACTAAAATAGGTTCTAACAGGGGGTGAATTCACCTACCACCCAGAGTGGGATCCCAAAAACGGTTTTGACAACCACAGCCACCTCTCAAAAAAGAACAAAAGAAAAGATGCATGGAGCAAGGGCATTACTGGAGGTCTGGGTATTTCTGTACTATGCGAAACCAAACCACCTCTTTTCTTTGTAGCCTTGGTGTCCGCCAGGGACTCCAAACTTCTTGGGTTTTTTGGGACTTTTGGAAGCCAATTTGTTGCTGACCAATATGTCAAAGAGTCAAGCACAATCAACTGGGCATGTTTGTTGGAGGGTTCCTTTTGGAGGTTGCGTTCAAAGGGAAACTCAGGGGAATTCCCCTATTTCAAGACAAACACAAACAATTGGAAGGACTGTGATTGCTAGGTTTTACGGTTGAACACCTAGATTGTCAAAAGGAGATGATTGGTGACGCATAACCCCTCATAGTTAATTGGGCCTGGTTGCAGCCCAACCAACTAGATCAAAGAGCATCGTCAAAGGGTCTGGAAAGGGGAATTCGGAAGGCCCCTCCGATTTGTCGCGGGTACAGGTCATTTCTAACCAGCCCTCGCATGGATTTGGCACCCCCACCGAGTGCCGCAGGGTTGCCACCTGCGCTGTGTCAAGCCGTCCAAGGCGACCATCATTCAATTTAAGGAAGAACATAATAGTTAGCATTCACAACAGGTGTACCTTCACATGAACTGAAGGAAGGTGAAACAAAAATGCATGAAATCCCCATTTGTGGTTGGACGACTTTTTTCAGGTTCCCACGTAAATTTGCAGCGTGAGGAGACTACTGCTGCACTAGGGATCACATCAAGAGCCAAAACATGTCACGCGATTCCATGGGGAACTGCTTTCTACTCATACCCGAGACCCCTTTCCTAATTGAAACTCCAGGCAAAGTGAAAGCCTCCCAAGGGCTTTTGTCTTGCGGAGGTCAAGAAAAGCGCACAGTTGGGGTCACAGCTTTCCGATTGACAGGCAGCTACCTACCAGCTGCACTAGCAAAGCACCGTTTTGTTTGGGCCAAATGTTGTGTAAGGTCGACATGCTAAACCCGGCACGCTGCAAATTACAACTGCCTAAAAAATGTCCTGCCTAGCCAAGCTGCTGCTGGTCCCAATCACTTTACAGAAGCACCAACCTCAGTTGGTGTGCAAAAAGACCACCGGTCCCCATTTTTCAGGTGAGCCTTCCAGAAATGGATGTTTGGCCAGCTGAAAGGTGTCCATGCGTTTTTGGTCTAGTTCCGGGGCAGGCTATGGCTACTTGGCACGTTGGAGATGCCAGGGCCGCAGCAGACTGGAAGGTTGACTGGAGGGGTTGATCCATCTTCCATTTCGGAATAAACCCACGAAGCATAGACTGCCCCACAAACACGGGCCAAGGGATCCCCCCCTTTTGCCCCTTACCAAGCTGCACCCCAAATGCAGCTAACCCCCAAAATCTGGCACCGAAAATGACCCCAAAGAAAAAACATGTCGGGAAATCCCCGACCCTTTCCCTTTGGAGCGGGTTGCCCCCGCTCAGCTCAGCGGGCCAAGGCCGGGATCCCGGGATCGCGCCTCCGCCTCCGGCGCCCGGCGGCTGCGCTGCAGCAGCCGCGCCGTGAGGTCCTCCACCTGGAGAAATCGCCAGCCGCGGTCGGGTGAAGCCCATGGTGACCTTGGGGACTTGGGGGAACCTCTGGTTTACGGGGTATTGTTCCGGGAATCATTTCAGGAAGCCAGATGGTTGAAAGCCCCAACGTTTGTTCATGGTATATGATTGAGGCTTGACCTCCCAAGCTTCCCATGGTTCATAAGCTTGGTATAGGTTTCAACCATGGTCACGGGGGTTCTATGTCGCACCATGTCGCACCCTTATGGTATATGTCGGTTCAGGAAGCCATGGTTGAAACCCCCAACGTTTCTTGGAAGCCATGGGAAGGCTTTGGTCTTCTGACCTTAGGCACCCAAAGGATATCTCTGGTGTGTTACGGTATTTACAAAGGGAATCGAATCAGACACCAGGGGTTTCTAATGGGTGGTGCGAAATGGATTTCGTCCATCCACAGTATGGGTCTGACATCGAGTTTGTTCCTTTAAAGCCACAAACAAAACAAAAACACCCCAAAGGGTGTCCCCAAGAAAGGGACCAATTTTTCTGGGTGTTGAAACCTACCTTGGTGGACGTGCGACCCCAAGATTCAAACCTCTCCAGAGACTCTGGTCAGTAGACAAGCTTGTTTTGTTTGGAGACCTTGTATGGTGTGTCAATTTGTTTGAGGGTCGTTTTTGTGTGGTTGTGAAGGGGAACCCGAGAGGAAAAACCGAAATCCATGGTGGGTGTCCCCTAAAAAAGACCAAGCCATATCTTCAAAGGTGAGGTTGGAAACCATAGACGTAGGATAGCCGAAGGAAGAAACCACAGTACTTCTGGGTGGAACTGTGGCTGGTGCCCTTTGAGGGCAGGATGCAATCAACCAAAGCAGCTACCCAAACAGCTGATTTTTTGTGTGAATGTTGGTGCGTGGATACTGGGACAAACTCAGCTTCATGAACAAATTGGATTTGGAAGACCTCTTTGGAAGCTGTGATTTTCGCATGGGTTTGTTTTTCGTCCCAAATAAAACCCACTTGTTTTGGTTCTCTGGAACGAGATCAAGAGAAGCTAGCTGGGTACCTGAAAGTTCTCCCGTAAACCTTTATAACTATGTTGGTGGGACCAAAAATCAACGTGGTTTGGGCACCGCCCAATTGGGTTGCCTGTCAAGCCCTGCCGACCCGACATAGACTGAAAAAACACCCATATGAAGACGCCTAGAGTTGGATCCGTGGCGGCAAGATGTTATGGGGATACCAACCGAGCCCGAGCAATAAGCAGGAGCTTCGGTAAGTACCTTGATACAGTTGGAAGCCCCACAACACGACTGCTAAAAATGTTGAGAGGTACCATGGAACCTTGAAGAACGTTTGCCTCCAATCAAAACCTATGAACGTGTTTTTGCTGTGACACTGTGGATGGACGCAATCCTGCACCGCCTAAGAAACCCTGGAATGATGATTCCCCTGTAAACACCGACAAACGTTCTGGTTTCCCACGGTGTCAAAGTGGTGCGAACGCATTTCGTCCATCCACAGTATCATTGTGGGCCGTTCCTAAAAGCTGTCACTTCAGAGGCGATTCCCAGAAATGGCCAGTGCGGTCAGTCCCACGCAGACTGCAAAAAGTGACTCACCATGGTTGAAACCCACCCTCCCCCTTTTTCCGTTTTCAGCAACTTGTAGGCTTGTCTTGCAGGAAAACAAAAGGAAGCCAAGAAAAAACCAAAAAGAAACCAGAATTCAAATGAACGGGAAACCAGAAGGAAACCAAAGGAGACGAATCCTGACGACAGACCCCCAGACTGCCTCCTGCAGGGCATCCAGCAGGGAGGCCACTTCAGCATCCTGAGGAAAGAATCCATCTGTTGTGCTTTAGGCTCTTTAGGGTACCCGCTGCTTTAGTGACCTTAAAGAGAAACCAGCAACCACTTTCAGTGGAAAGTCAAAAACGAAGAGTCAAAAAGTCTTTTTAAAAACCAAAGGTCGACAAGCCCCCAGAAAGTCGAAAGTCGAAAAGTTTGTGGCTTTTCTTTTTACTTGTCTTTTTTTGGGGTCTCCGCTGGAAAAGTTACGTGCTGCGGCGCGAGCGCCGCTGGGCCCGCGGAGCTTGCAATGGGCAGGGCCTCACGTCTGTTTCAATTCGTGGCTGCAGAAAAAGGAGACTCACTGCTCTGGGATTTTGAGCATTGTCGGGTGTTGTCAACAGCGAGGGCCTGCTCAGCGTCAGCCCAGCAGGCGGCAGACTTTGTGTCAGATTTGGGTTTGTAGGGCGCGAAATGGGGCAGCTTCGAGCCGCGCAAAAAACAACGAACGCGAAGTGGTGCGCTCAACTGCTACAAAACTCTCTGTTTCTGTCAAGATGTTGGTTGCAGTAGGCCACCAATCGTGGAAAACCGAACAATCGCCTGCTGCGTCAGCAACGATGTTGCAGCCAGTCGTGCTATCGCCTGTTGGCAAAAGCCACTTGCGATCACGAGTGTCTGCAGGCGCGTTGCCGACTGCAGGCGCGACGAGCTTGGCAGAGAACTCTCTGGCAGAGAGCTCCGCGCTGTGCGCATATTTGGCAGCTGCTTTCGCAATGAACTTCTTCATTTCTGCTACGCAGCTTTCCTGCTGAAGCTCCACACCTGCGCTCTGGCAGAACACAAAGCGCCTCTCCCCCTAGAGAGACAGACCCTCGAGGCTGGGCGGGCCGGCGCTCACCAAAACCAAAAACGCCCAGCAGCCACCGCCATCTGGATGCAAGGCGCTAACTCAGCAGCCTCAACAGCTCACCTTTTTTGGCCACAGACCAAATGCAGCCAAACGTGTCCTTCTTAGAGGGCCTTTCAACAAAGTCTCCTGGCTGCAGTGACAGCGCAGGACACGCCTTTCAACAGAAATCCCTCTTGTTCTCCACCTGTCTTGTTCTCCGGCTTCGTCTCGTGCTCCGCCTTCGTCTCTGCGGCGATCGCCTCTACTTGCTTGGTGGCCACCAGGCGTTGGACGTCCAACCAAGCAGGAAGCAGATCAGCCCCTTGCAGAACGGACCACCACCGCCTCAACGTAACGTGACAAAGGGTGCTAAGGGGTCCTTTTTTCGAGAGACTTTGGTCAGGGTACTGTCAGCTTTGTGTTGGGGGACGCGCCCTGGGTTTGCCCACAACAGCTAGGGAACTCTCCACGAGTTGTTTCAGAGAAAAGGTACAAACGCAAAGCTGTTTCTCGCTTGCTACTTAGCTACGGAAGCGGCTCTTGCTGTTGCAAAGTGTATGTCTTCAACAACGCTGGACAACGCGGGCTGCTAATGGTGAGATGCTTGCAGACTTCGGATTATTGGGCCCAAGTAACACCGTTTTTCCAACACACCCGAGAGCCGAGGAAAAAACAAGCCGCCCCTCCATGATGGCCGTATCAGCACCTTTGCGCGGTGTCTGTACAAAACGACCTATCGTCGATATCGTCAAAAGCCGGAGCCATTGCCACTTGTCAAGGGGCGCCTTAAGCGCAGCGTGCTCCAAGTAGTTCCTAGTAGTTCCAGTTTGTTTGCTACTGCTCCCCGACCCCTGCTCCTGACAATGACCTGGCCGGATGTCGGCGACACGGACACCGGACAGAAGCTGTACAAAGCCCAGTCAGTGCTCTGCTTCGTCTTCTTCGGCTTCTTCTCCTCCACGCGCTCAGGCTTTGGCTTTGTCTTGCGGCTCGTTTCTTTCAATGCCCGCTCCACCTTGCTGGGGGCCTGTTGCTTCTCCGCCGTAGCTATCTTCTCCCTCCCCTCCGCCGCCGCCACTTCCTCCTTCAGCTTGCGCGCTTGGTCCAGCAAACGGTTGTTCTTGTACATGAGTGCCGCGTTGGCCCTTCCCTGCGCCGCCAGCTCACCCTTGGCCGTGAGCTTCTGCGCCTTTTCGAAGTCGTATGCCATCCACCCTCAAGGCGGGCTCGCTCTGCTGCGTGGCTTTCCTTCAGCTCAAGCGCTTCTGCTGCTCAAAGTTTACCTCCGGCTTTTGCGCGTTGTCCAGGAAGGCGGCGCCTCTTGACCCCGCGCGTTTGGCCCTCGGCGGCCATAGGCCTCAGAGGCTTGGGCCCTGGCCTTGCGCCTCTTGCGGGCCAGCTGCTCCATCTTGTCTCTGCGCCGCCTTGCTTGCAAGCATCGGCTTGCAATCCCCCGAGATGGAAACAGAGACGCTCGCGCCTCGCAATACCGACAGTGGGAAGCCCAACAACCGTTGATGCTCTGGAGCTGAACAGTCATGCTAGATGACTTTGTGGGGCTCCAAGGCATGAAAGCTTATCAGTGGGCTAGGCCCCGCTCTTTGAGCCAAGGGCGGCCGCGCGTTTGCCCAAGCAGATCCCACGGCAAATGTTAAAAAACTTGAAAACTCGAAAAAGACAAAAAGTCAAGCCACAGCAGGGGTGGAGGGAGGGGGGGGTCACTACCCGAAAAGAAGCAAAACAAAACGAGAAGTCAAAATATGTGAAAAGTCAAAAAGTCGAAAACTCAAAAACATATTGACTGTTTGACTTTTTGCAAAAAGTGTTGCGTCTTCTTGCTTTGTGCAATGTCCGGCGAGGGGAGCCCGCAGCTTCTTGGAGGGTCCCCTAAAAAAGATCCCTTTTAGTTCCCGACCCAAAATTTGTTCCGAAATAAATATAATTCACGAAAACATGTGCAATCTATTTATTCAATCACATAGTGGATGAATCATGCGGGAAAGAATGGACCATCTTCACATCTCCAACTGGGGGGGGGGAACGGGACACGCCGAACTGGGGTAGGTCAAACTGAGCCGCAAGAAACGTTTCACTTGTTGCTGGGCGGTTGGAAACAGTCATGTTGTTCTGCTTGTTTAAGGCACCGCTGAAAGATGAACTATTTGCGGTTACAATGACCTTAACTCCCCCTTTGGCCCAAAGAGGTGGCCCTGTCACAGTCGCCCCACCATCTACGAGGACCACAGGGGTCCTCAAATTGAGAGTGGTTGTAACCTGGAGAGTCCCAAAAACCTGCTGGCTTTAGTTGGTATATTTGTTAGTCAGTTTTACTATAGTAGTCTGTTTTTTTGTCAGGGTTGGCCTCATATCGTATGTGGAGTAGAAAGCACTCCCTGATTTAGAGGGTATTGAGGCCTTAAACCTTTCTCGCCAGGTTGATAGTCAAGATACTAAGTGCTTTCCCCTCCTTTTCAAACGGATCCCTGTTGTGAAACCGTTGCATTTGCATGCGGCAACGTGCACAGACATGGGCGGATTCCAGAAATGGGTGTTCCCCACCAGACTTCTGTGTTTGTCCAAAGCCTAGTTTGGCAGGTGGATTTTGCAGAAAAACACATATCTTTACTTTTCTATCGGCAAGTGGTAGGTTTTCCAAAACATACGTCCCCTTTTTTGGTCAGGGGTTGACATCAATACCCAAACACTGGAGTGGAGGGTCTGCTGCACTTGAGTGATCGCCGGCTCTGGGCGTCTCGTCGAAAGCTCTGAGCCGTCTAAGCTCGCGGCCCAGGCGCCGCGGTTCCGCCGGCGCACCTTGGACAGCGCCTGGCAGGGCAGTCAGTAGGGTCTCAGAAATACTTAAACTTTAAAGTGGGGAATTGGGGACAACGAGCCGCGGAAGCTTATATAGGTCGTTTCCTACCCTGTCAGCTAAGTGTAGGCTGGAGCAAAATGGGCTTTTTCTCACTGGTGGAGAGCAGGACTCGGCCCTTTCTTGCGGCTGTTTGTCTCAAGGAAAAGGCATAGAGGTCCGTGGTTTCTTCCTGGAGCCTCACCGTCCAATCATTAAGCTAGGCAGAAAAGGACCCCCTGTTGAAAAAAAGAGCTGGTCATGTTCCTTTTCAACCACCCCAAGCAGAAAAGCAGGTTTTAAGCCTTCTATCCTTCCCTTACTGTGAGGGCCGAAATAGTTGAAATGTACATAAATCATGACCGGGGCAAAAAGTTAGCACTTCAGCGCCCCAAAACGCCAACCCCAAACTCGACCCGGAAACCAGCACCAATAAATTGCGAGTGGGAATATCTTCCCCCACCACACCCGAAAACAAAAAATGGAAACACTGCACCTCCCTCCCCCAAACAAAAACAAACTCCCCCCCCCCCCACAAAAATACAAAAACAAACCAAAAACTACGCCCCCCCCCCCCCAACAAAAAAAGAAACGACAAAGCTGCTTGTGCGGTTTCACGGTCAACCCCCACGCCCGCCTGGGTCATTTGGCCTCCGGAGCCCCGGGTTTTTCGGCTTCGCTTTCGAGTTCCCCGGGCCTTGGTCGATGCAGCCATGGCGGAGGCACGGAACACCGTGTCCTCGCGTCACTTGTTCGAGGCGCAAAGCGACCTATGCTCCATGGGGGCTGGGGGGGAGGGAGGGGAGGGGGAGGGAGCCCAATAAGCCCTTGTTAAGCCCTTAATGAGGCCTTGTTTGAAGCTTATTTGGGCTCCCTCCCCCTCCCCTCCCTCCCCCCCAGCGCCCATGATGTGTTGACGTACGGCAGGGGTGAGTGGTTTGAATAGAGAGCCAGCAATAAACACCAAAAACTGTTCATATTCTTGTGGCAAATAATCACCACAAAAAGCCCTTCATGCTCTTGTGCCAGCTTTTTCTAAGCCTTTCATCAGCTGAGTACAAACAATTCCAGGTTCCCTATCCAACCTAAGGAAAATCACTTCTGGCTCAAGCGCCCCTGAGCCCTGGAAACCTTGCGTTGGATCTCGGGAAGGGAATCAATTCCCAAAGAACTTGAGCAGGCCGGGACGGAACACTGGGCGCTGATTTTTAGGAGGAGGCTACCACGCGGCTAGCGAGCAGGAAGACTACCGGAGGACTACGGAAAGACTGCAAGAAGACTACAAGAGACTAGACGAATGATGTGATCTTCTTTAATCTGACCTCCCCCCCCCACCCCGAGCCTCTTTAGCGGGAAAGGGGGGGGGGGCTGGGTTGGACTTGTGCTCGCCAACACATTGGCGATTCTGAATCAATTATTGCCAAGACTTGATGTTGGGTTCCTCGTTTGGTATTGCCAATTCGAGATTTAGTGCTGCCAAGACTTCATCTCAGATTCCTCATACTTTGCAATTCCACATTTATTATTGCCTAGATTGAATATTCACCCAATCTCACATTCTCAACACGTCTTAAGTATTGCCAGTGCTTACGTTAGTATTGCCAGTGCTTACGTTAGTATTGCAAAGGCTTGATCTCAACTCGCCCTGCCCTCAAGCCCACTCCGGCTTCAGACTTGTTGGGACTCTACTCACAAACCCCCCTAGACTCCCATCGGGGCTCCTCGAGGTGCCTCTCTGCTCGGGCGGCTACAGCCTGAATGCAAGCAAGGCGCGCGCCAGGGGTCAAACAGAAACTGAATCGCCCCGGCTATTATAGGTGGGAAGGCTAGGGGTCTTTGGGTCCCCTAAATGTTGACCGGAAACTCCTGCTTGTTCATCCTATCCTCCCTGATCAAAGAGACAGACCTCAAGGTTTGTCAGCATTTTGGTACGTCCCTGAGCTGAGCCCCTGCACACAAGTCTTGCATTTGGCTAGTTTGTGCTTGGATACGCTAGTCATTGCTGTGAAGTTTGTCGGGTCAAACCGAAACCAAGTATCAGCAATCAGCATCTGGTGTCAGGCAAGTTCCCAAACAATCTGACGCGTTGCCTTTGTTGTTATCCTTTGACGGCCAACAAACGGACACCATTTCAGGGCCAACCTATACACCTATACACCTTGCGCACATGCGCATTCATTGGCGATACAAATGTACATGTATGCGCAGGTGTTTTTTTCTGCATGTGCATATGTCTTCACATGCACATACCTTTCAGCAAACAACGCTTGACTGCAGCAAGGACAGCTCTGAGCACTACCCACTTGCCCAAAGGACCGGCAAATACCAGGTCAACTTTCTGGGACCTCTACTAAAAACGGACCCAAAACGGTCCAAACCAAAAGGTCACAAAAGGTCGGCTTTGGCTTCAGAACTGAGCCTTGGTTCGCCAAATGGACAACCACCATTCCTGCAGTGGACAAGCATGTAAACACGCGTGATTCCAAGAATGGCCCAAAGCGAAGACGTCAATTCCCTCAACATGTTGTTCACACACTTGCCTCAAAATGATTTGGCCGCAGACCAATCGCAGGCAGGAGTGAGTCATGGTTCTTTGTACCAAATAGGATCAATTCCCTTTTTGGGCAGTTATCCCATGTAAAACCCGTGCTTCAGTCAATGGACCCCAAAGGGAAGCCGTCCGCATCAGCGGCTCGCCTGCGCCTGGTGCTCAGACTCTTGGGCCAGCTCTTCCACGGCTCGGCGCAGGAACGCGGCCTCGTCAGCTCGGTGACCAGCTCTGGGGTGGGTCCAGGAGCTCTGGGGCTCAACCAGTTGGAATGGCCGGGAGCAAAAGTTAAATGAAACGCGGCAAAAAGGATGGTTCAACCAGTGGAATGGCCATAGATGAAACTGAGCGGCAAAACGACTGGTGGCCATATGAACCGAATTGCTTGAATTTGCTTTGAATCGGGAAAGGAAGCACATGCGAGTTTGCGCAGTGAGATGTTTTTTTAAGGTGTCCAACGATGTGCTACAAGGGACCCCAAAAAGACGCACAACACTGAGAACCCGAATGGGAGCTGGGGTCTGGATTCGACCGAATCGGATTCCCGGGTCTTCTCGCGGGTCAGTTTGTAAAATGACCCATCCGACTCGTTGGCTTGGGTAAACTAAAAAATACTTTTCGGTTGACTTGAAGATTGGAAAAGAAAGCGGCCGGCTCAATGCCCAAAAAGTTTCCCCAAAACGATCCCGGCTAGAAGGGTGCCTTTACCATCGCATGTAGCCGTACGGGCCCCAGTGATCTTTGAATTCCCTCCCAAAGGATAACAGTAACACCAAAGTTTCTAGGCTACCTTCCCTCATTCCTTCCAGCCCACCATCTCCCCCGAATCCCCCACCCTCAGCCTGCTCTTGGTTTGGCCCCATTTTTCCACCCCGCACGCTTCTGGGGCCCAGCAAGAAGGCAAAATGATAGGTGGGCCCTGGCCTTCTTTCACCCCAGCTGTTTTGACCTTCAGATTCATTCCATCAAACAGGCAAGTATGTGTCAAACAAATCTGGACAAAACAACAATGGATATCGGTTTTCTAAACTGGTTTCCTTGAAAGAAAAAACGGAATTGACCCCCCCCCCCAAAACAAAAACAAAAAAAACTCCCCAGACCGCCCCGGAGCCTATCTGGGCGACCCCAAAGCCAAAAAACAACGAGCCACATGCCACCCCCGGGTAAATGGGTACCCAAGGCTCAAGGGCACTGGTACAAATGGACCCTTGGAGGGTGCTGGTGGTCCCAACCCCCCCCAAAAAAGAGAGGAGAAACCAGAAAACGCCCGGTGTTCCGAAAACTAGTCGCCCGAAAAATCGACACACATCGAATGGCCCTCCCCCCGCAAAAAAATAGAAAGAAAAAAAAAAAAAAAAAAAACCTCCCCCCTCCCCCCCCCCAAAAAAAAAAAAAACGAGCCACCTGGTCCCAGACTTCCTCCACTTCCCGGAAGGCGCCTCGCTCCGGGCCTTGGCCTTGCGGCCTTCCTTGGCATCACGGCGCCCGGCCAGCGCGGCTCTTTGGGCCAGCGCCTCCTTCAGGCGCCTCGGAGACGGATGTTTTTTTCCCGTTTTTTTTGTTGTTGTTGGTTTGGACAAACAAATGTGTGTCGTGTTTTGCAGACTGGCTTGTTCTACGTTGTTTCTTTGTTGTTTTGCTGTTGTGCTGTTTTTGTTTGGGGTTGTTTTGCTTTCTTGCTCTTCTTGTGTTTTTTTTTTTTAGGGGGGGGGGGGGGGGGCGGGGACATCAGACGGAAAATTGTCTTTTCTGGGGTCCGAAATGGATTGCGGGTTGTCCTTTTGGCTTCCCGAGAAAGACAAGAATGGGTACCCCCAAAAAAAGAGACCCAAATGGATCAAGCCTGCTCAGAAAGGTGGGTTTGTTCTTTGAGGACACGCTTTGGTGGTGTTCAAGGGGAACAAGAAAACACAATTTTGGTTGGGTCTAGATCAAACTATTTTGGCACAGGCACATATTCTACCAGAAGTTCCGTTTGAGGTTCGGCAAAGGGGACCTTAGCTACTTTCCCTCGTCTGGAAAGCAATTCCCAACGTGTCTCATTTCTTTCCTTTTCCAAGGCAATCGCAACTCGGGGTTTCTTTTGGGAAGGTCAACCACCTGGGTTGAGGTCTGGGCTACAGAAACAAGGTACGCTTTCGAGAGCATTACCTTGGAAATTGCAACATGAGGCACTACACTGTGCGCTCAATCCAAGGGATGTTTCTTCGGACCCCAGACAAAAGCTATAGCTCATCACTTTGCACACCCGAAAGATGGCCATCCAAACTGGCCTCCACATTGTCCATGAAATCTTCTTGATTGAGGATTTCCTTCCCCGGAGGCGGCACTTCCTTTTGGCTGAGAGCTATCCAGAGAGGTTCCTGGCCTCTTAAAACCCTCGAGATGGTAGCAAAAAGCTGACTGTTTCTTGCAGGCCCCGACTGAACAAAGCCAAAAACAAACAGAAACCTAAAAACTTGCCAACCACAGTGAAGTGGAGGTCAGAGCCACAAAAAAGGCTCAGGAGGTTCCATGTAGCGGTGGGTGATGTGTACAACGTCTGGTAGGTGGCTGGATGGGGTTCCAGAGGGTAAGGCGTCTGTGCACCATGCCGCAACATGAAGGAGACGGAAGGTGCCCAGAGACAGTTGGGTGCGTCGTGTTGTGAGGTTGGTTCAAAGGGAAACCTCGGGCCCCGGGCTGCTCCTCCGCCGCCAGGAGAACTTCCTCCCGGCCCAGCGAGGCCTCCAGCTCCTGCCGAAAAAGAGAGGCGACCCGCGCAGCGGGTGGCTTTTTGGTTGGGCCACCCCCCTCTGCGGAGATGGGTAACCCCAATGGGTAAAACAGAGGGTAACCCCAAAATGGGTTGCCCTGGTAAATGGAATCCTGGGGGACAAAAACCAGCGGTCCCATTCCTGGTGGTTGAATTTTGAGAGCCATACCCCCAGATGGGGATTATTTTGACGTCACGGGGCACCGCCGCTTGGCAGGAAGCTCCAAATCTGCGCCTTGTGCGAGAGACACACCCAACTGGATTTCCAAATGCCCGTCCAAAAACAAGTTGATGTCCTGTGGAGGCTTCCTAGACAATGGTGTGGAGAAAGGCAGTTTGGAGGATGTTCCGAGGCGAGTCCCATGTACCCCCTGCCCAGACCCCAAAACCAAGCCTAAAGGTGTCTGGATTCCCTTTTCAGGGTTCACTGGCTTCACTGGGGTTCAATGGTCTTTTAAACGAGCTCCCTGGGGAATCGCCCTTCTAAGGGTAACTTGAGCCGGGATGCTCGGAATACGCATGTTCGAAGCAAAAGAAATAGAGGTCCAGCAGTCAAGATGACGAGGGTCCATCCTGGAATTTGGGACCTGTTTGCAACCCTCGCCAAACAGGGTGCCAAAGAGACGTTTGGGAGGCGAAGACGGCAAACCGCACAAGAATTGTCCAGGCCACATGCCTTTGTTTGCCAGTTTGGTATGTGTCAAAATAGGGAACCCCCCCCCCGACACAAATGGTGTCAAACTGATTTCCCTGGAGAAACCGCGGTTAGGGTACCCTCGAAAAACACACGGAGACGCACCCACTTACACGCCCAGTTCCAGCTTTTCTTTCTCCACCCCTCAGCTTCCTCCTCCCGCTCTGCTCTAGAGCGATCCTCGGCCAAAATCAAAACTGCGGTTGACCGAAGCCGCCTCAAGCACCGGCGCAAACAAACTTGACCGTGCCGAACGGAGTCCCATAAAACAAAGAGCAACGGAGCACGGATTGATCTGTGCAGAAGAAGACTTTGACCAAGGGCTGACTCCATCAGCTTCCCCTTGGGGTTTTGATACCCCCAAGCCGGGGCATTGCGAGGATGTGTCTCCCAGGAACAGCTGGGATTGGTAGACCAGAAAAGGCTGGGGCTGCCAAAAGTATGATGTCTAAATGTCTAAATATTAAGAACAAGGATAAATAGATATGACAAGACAACAAATGAAGATAGTACAGAAGTAAAAGAAAATAGTTTAAAGATATGAAGGGAAGGTGAGTCTACGCTCTATATAATAGAAACAACTGATATCAAACAAATACAAACACATGTCAGATAATCATGGAACTTTAATGACATTTGGTTAACGAAGACGTGGGGGTGAGCTGGCCATAGAACGTTCAATCGCCTTCCCGGAGGGAGAGTAACCCCTATGAGCCGGGTTCTTGGACAACATGACGGCAATGTTCAGAGATTTGTTGGTCCCCAAGTCCCCAAGCGCGGCCCCGGGCGAAGGAGAAAACAAAAACGACTTCCCTGAGCCCCGGGCCAAGGAGGTCTCCAGCTGCTCACACCTCGGATTGGAAAGGGAGGCATGTGACCTGCGAATTGGTGAAGTCAAACCTGATGTCTTTGTTAAATAAAACATAACACCTGCCCCCACCCCCCCACCCATGTCCCAAATCCCAAGTTGGATATTCTGGGCAAGGTACAATTGACCCACTAAGAAAACGGGCCTTCAGCCCAAGGTAGCCCAGGTGAGGTCACCAGTTGCCCGGAGAGCGATTCAAAGGACGGGATAGAGCTCCTTTGGTCGCGACCCACAAAACCCTTCTCCATGTTATGCATAGGTGAACCCCTGCGCCGCCCCTTGCGCCACCCCCCCCTTCGAGACCCCCAAACACCCCCCCAAAACAAAAATGGAACCTATGTTGACCCCTGAAGAAACCCAACTCGTGTCTGTGTGGGTGTTGAAACCCATGGATCCGCGTGCCTCAACCGGGCTCTGCTGACTGACTGGCACCGATCAACAAGTGACCTTCCCCACCATTCCGGAAGTTCAAGGATGCATCTGCTCGCTTTTGGGCGTCGATTCGGGCTTCAAGGTCGCAAGCGCGAATCAAGCTTTTTCTAAGCCCTGCGGCATTCCGTACACCTTGACCCACTTCCGACCACGAAACTTGCAGATGCTTGTTTGGTCTAAACGTCAAGCGACATCCAAACGGAGGGCAAAACACCTCTGACACGGCCATCCTGGCCGTCACCTTCCCGCCATCCCTTCCCATCGGATCTCGCTTGGGCCGCCGCAAGGCTTCCAGCTCTTTGGCCACCTGAAAAACGGGGAAAGCCCATGGCCCGCGAAGCTCGGAACCTGACAAACGAACCGAAAAGCGGAAGAATGTTGAGCCCATGTTGATCAAGCCCTGCTTAATTAATGGGGTGAGCTGCCCCCAACAGTGATTCTCCACTAAACCCAGGGACACACCACGCTACTAATACACAGGAGTTGATTCATATGGGGTCAACATTTTAGCAATGCCTAACTTCAACTATGGATTGCCAATGTTCGTGGAAACCCCGTCCGCCAAACACAGCTCCGCAACCCAAAAATCCCACGAAGTGAGCGCCGTCCAAAAAGAAGTCCTGGGCTATGGCGGCTCCCTATTTGAAACCCCGAAAGGGCACCCCTGAAAACGACCCATGAGGGGATCTTTTGAAAACTCAGGCGTACGTATAGCATCTTCTTTTGGCCTACAGGATGGGTCTCCACATGCTAAAGGTAGCCATACAGGACTTGAGAAAAATCCCTTGGTGTTTGCCTTTGGGTTGTGGTTGCAACTTTCGACCATGAAACTCCTGTGAGGAATGATCACCCAAACCTTCGCGGCTTGTTCCATCCTTGCGAGGGATGCGGGATCTTCCATGATCGCCCGAGTGTCTTTCAGGCTTCCATTTTTCAAGAAAAGCATATTGAACTGTTGGCCATCCGCGGTATTTGAAGACAAAAAAAACAAGTTGGTGATTGGAGGGGACCTCTCATGAGTCGTTGGCATCCTTGGACGACTTCCCAAGGGAGTCAGATTGAAATGGAACCAGTTTGCACTGAAACCGTGCCAAGTTTTGTCGTTAATTCTATATAGGAGTCGACTTGCGGCAAATCCATCAGTGTCGCCCTATCTCACTTCCGTGAATTGCTCAACGACAAGTTGATCTTGCTGTTTGCCTCTAAATGGTACCCCGAAAAAGGAGTCTAGAAACTAGCCCCTGCTACCAAAATGATGCTTCAGCCACTTCTACAACACCCTCTCGAAACGTTGGTTGACCAAATTCATGCAAGTGTGCCAACATGTTTCATTGTTCTTCTTTGATTTTTGAAGAACTCGTGCCACTCAAATGGCCATGGGTCAACATTCCCTACCCCCAGTGAACATTCTAAAATGGGTGGTGCACCTACCAACCAAAATGGGATCCCAAAACGGTATTGACCCACAGCCAAATGGCAACCCCCCAAAACAAAAACAAAAAACGTCTCTAGGGCCCAGGACCTCCCAAAATTACTCCGCCTGCGTCTCCTCCTCGAGCTCCTTGTGGCATTGGTCCATGTGACCCCTTTCCGCCTGATCCAACAACCCGGCGGAAACCGGTGGCCAAGCCGATGGGATCCAAAAGAAGTCCCCGCAAAAAAAAGAAGAAGCCATGAATCACGTGTTGCCCCTGAAGATAGCGTGTTGCCGGGGTAGTCGAAACCAGCTCGCAAAATAGGGGAACTCCCCCCAACTATGTCGACTTGGGTTTCCCTTGACAACGAAGCTCGGGGTGCCCTTCAAAAGAACTTTCGGCCACTTCTGCCCCGCATCCTTTGCCGAGATACAGCTGAGGGGAAACATTCAAGACTTCGCACAATTGGGCCAGACCAGTGCGCCCAGTTGAGTCAGAATCAAACCCTGGCATTCAAATGGTGTGCTCAAATCAATGAAACGAATTCAAGCGGCAGAATTCCACACCAGCTTTTCTATGGTTCACCATTTGTCCCTTGCCTTCTTTCATCCAGCCGGGTTTTGAGCAACAGTTCCGGAAGACGGAAACCCAAGGCCTTCACTCAAAACTCGGCCACCTGACCCGCCTCCAGCTCCTGTAGCGCCAGCTGGACCTGGCGTCAGAGCGCACTGGCCTTGGAAGATCGAGCCTCAGCTCGACCTTCGAAACTGAAAGCTGGACCAGAGTGATGACCCGCCAAGAAGAAAGGAGTTCGTGACCGAAAAAATCCGAGTGGACAAAAAGAGACACAATTCAGCATCAATTGACCTGGAAGGGGGCGTCTTCCAACACGCGGTTTCTCTTTGGTCTCTTTGGTAGGGGGGAACCCCTTTAAGAAACTGAACAACGCCATTTGGTTGGCTTTGAAAGAAAACCAAAAGGATGACAAATGGGAGTGTCGAAGTTGAAGATCGACCAACCAGCTCCTAGACCTCCTTCCAAGCTGAAAACTGGACAGGCCCATGAGAGTGATTACCCGTCCATATCGACGAATCTGAGGACGGGATACACACCCATTCTCCCCTTCCCAACTTGCTACTGATTGAAGGGAAACAATAGAAGACCAGGAATGAATCTCTTTCCCATCAAGAATAGATAGGATATGCGTAGAGATGATGATGGACTTGTAAACAAAACAACCGTGAACCTGGAGACAGGTTCCCCATGCCAATGTACATTGGAAGGCTGCAAAGAAAGCTTGGCATGAACCCGGGTCAATGCCAGCCAGAGCAAGCGAGCTCTGCGCTCGTGTTTCGTGACTTTTTGCTGGGCGGAGTGACGAGGACGAAACGGTGTCACCACATCATGTGCCCAAAACCAGGAGGTCCCCAAACGCAGGGACATCTGGTGTGTGGCCCAGTGACATATGTGGTTCAACGTTTCTGAAGATGTATGATGTTGGTGATGCTGAGGGTGTGGAAGGTGCAATGCGGGGGCGCGCTGCTCAGGGTGTCGGATGCGTGCCTCAGTGATCTGAAGGTGTGGAAGGAGAGGCTGACAATGTGGATGAGGGTGTCGGATGCATGCCTTGATGATGCTGGGGGTGTGGAAGGAGATGCTGACAATGTGGGGGTGCGATGCTGAGGGTGTCGGATGCGTGGCTTGATGGTGGAAGGAGATGCTGACAATGTGGGGGGCGCGCTGCTGAGGGTGTCGGATGCGTGCCTTAGTGATCTGAGGGTGTGGAAGGAGATGCTGACAATGTTGGGGGTGCGATGCTGAGGGTGTCGGATGCATGCCTTCATGATGCTGAGGGTGTGGAAGGAGATGCTGACAATGTGGGGGTGCGATGCCGAGGGTGTCGGCCTTAGTGATGCTGATGGCTGATGGTGTGGAAGGCTGACAATGTGGGGGTGCGATGCTGAGGGTGTCGGCCATAGTAATGCTGATGGCTGATGGTGTGGAAGGAGACGGGTTGTCGATGCTGAGAATGTGGAATGATGCTGAGAATGTCGAATGCGTGCCTTGATGATGCTGAGGGTGTGGAACGAGATGCTGACAATGTTGGGGTTGCGATGCTGAGGGTGTCGGCTGCGCGCCTTAGTGATGCTGACGGCGAGGAAGGAAATGGGAGGTGCGATGCTGAGGGTGTCGGCTGTGCGCATTTGTGCTGATGGTGTGGAAGGAGATGCTGACAATGTGGGGGTGCGATGCTGAGGCGTGCCTTGATGATGCTGAGAGTGTGGAAGGAGATGCTGACAATGTGCGGGTGCGATGCTGAGAATGTCGAATGCGTGCCTTGATGATGCTGAGGGTGTGGAAGGAGATGCTGACAATGTGGAGGCGCGATGCTAAGGGTGTCGGATGCGTGCCTTGATGATGCTGAGGGTGTGGAAGGAGATGCTGCGGAAGGAGATGCTGACAATGTGGAGGTGCGATGCTGAGGGTGTCGGCTGTGCGCCTTAGTGATGCTGAGGGTGTGACAAGAGATGCTGACGATGTGGGGGTGCGATGCTGAGGGTGTCGGATGCATGCCTTGATGATGCTGAGGGTGTGGAAGGAAATGCTGACAATGTGGGGTGCGATGCTGAGGGTGTCGGCTCTGCGCGCTGAGGGTGTGCAAGGAGATGCTGACAATGTGAGGGTGCGATGCTGAGGGTGTCGGATGCGTGGCTTGATGGTGGAAGGAGATGCTGACAATGTGGGGGGTGCGATGCTGAGGGTGTCGGCTGTGCGCCTTAGTGATGCTGAGGGTGTGGAAGGAGATGCTGACAATGTGGAGGGGCAATGCTGAGGGTGTCGGATGCGCGCCTTGATGATGCTGAGGGTGTGGAAGGAGATGCTGACAAGAGTGGAAGGAGATGCTGACAATGTGGGTGCGATGCTAGGGTGTCGGATGCGTGGCTTGATGGCGGAAGCAGATGCTGACAATGTGGGGGTGCGCTGCTGAGGGTGTCGGATGCGTGCCTTTGTGATCTGAGGGTGTGGAAGGAGATGCTGACAATGTGGAGGGGCAATGCTGAGGGTGTCGGATGCGCGCCTTGATGATGCTGAGGGTGTGGAAGGAGATGCTGACAAGAGTGGAAGCAGATGCTGACAATGTGGGTGCGATGCTAGGGTGTCGGATGCGTGGCTTGATGGCGGAAGGAGATGCTGACAATGTGGGGGTGCGCTGCTGAGGGTGTCGGATGCGTGCCTTTGTGATCTGAGGGTGTGGAAGGAGATGCTGACAAGGTGGAGGGACAATGCTGAGGGTGTCGGATGCGCGCCTTGATGATGCTGAGGGTGTGGAAGGAGATGCTGACAATGGGGATACGATGCTGAGGGTGTCGAATGCGTGGCTTGATGATGCTGAGGGTGTGGAAGGAGATGCTGGCAATGTGGAGGGGTGATGCTGAGAGGTAGGGAGAGGCCCGAAATATGTAGGGAACACTTGCACCGCAAGAAAGAGTGACAGGCAAGCTGCTTTTACCACTTACACAAGCTTTCGCCAGGCTTGCCGCAAGCTTTCACCAAATCTGCCACAAGGCTTCACCAGATTTGCCACGAGCGCAGCAAGGCCAGGGCTTCTTGTCACAGCCTGCTGGACAAGCCAGCTGGCTGAGGTCCTAGGTGGTTTGTCCTCTGGTTGCACTGTCTTGTAGGAGACACAGCAGAACAGAGTGACAGCTTCCAACTGAAATGGTACCTCTTCGTGCGTAGTTGTCAGGCCCAGAATTGTCCGACTCGCTTCCGATCGCCAAGAGTCGCTTCCCAGACAATTCTGGATGTGTTGGAAAGCACGACTCACGTCTGCAAGAGTCTGACTTCTGTTTCCCCAGCCAAATTCCGAAACGGAGCTGAAGTGAGTCGAGCTACTGTCTCATTTTTGGCACCACCGTTCAGAAACCCAACGGAATGATTGGATTCCCCGGCCCGTAAATGCCAAGAAACCTGCTTTGGCCTCATTCCCATGGCTTAATTGTTTCATTTAAGGCTGTGGGTCAAAACCCAGGAAACCCATGGTGAACGTCAAAAATCGGTGGTAGGTACATGGGTGTACATCCTGGAGAAATGCATAGGTTATGACCCATCAAGCGCAAAAAAACCATCCGCCGCCTTCTTGGCCCTGAGGCTGCGCTTCTCATCGTGCTCCGCCACCTCAAGCTGAAGCTGTATCTTTGAAGGTTGGCGGTTGGGGAGGGGCCAGGGATGAATGGGCGGGGGGGCGGGGGGGTGGGGAGGTGGGGGGGGTGGGGCCCAGAGTCGATTTTTTGCAACCAAGAAACCTAAAAAAATCCAATACCCCAAAAGAAGGAGGTTGCAACATAGACCCCAAGTGTCCACCATACGTGGGGGGGGGTCTTGGGAGTTGGATTTGGGGGAGGCTGTCAAGTGCAGCAGTTGCACAAGTCCAACCCTAGACCAACACTTTTGCTTGGAAGTTGGCAAGCACCAAATGTAGGGAAGCCATTTTCAAGTGGCCATGAAGCTGCAATGCTTCAACCTTCCCAAAAGGAGCCTTAACCCCCAACACAAGCAACCAGGCTGCATGCGCCTTGCAACAAAACGACTGGCCTGATTGGCGAAAGCTGCTCGCTGCAGCTGCAAGGTGTGAGTCGCCTGACTCCGTGAGCCACAAATTCGCAGCGCCTTTGACCAAGTGGTGCTCGCTTCTACCAGATGCATGGCTGCAAAGGTTTACACAGTCCTTACCATAACTTCGATGAAGCCAGGTAGTGAAACCTACCAACATAGTCATGAGGCATCGGTCTTGGGCGTTGCCTGACATGAGGTTCGGCCCCAAAATGATGTTGGTGCATTCCCATGTTTGAGGATTTGAGGGTCCACGTGTATTCTTTGTTTCTGCGAGAAGCAAATGTCAACCCCAAAGATGTTTCCGAGAGGGGACCCACCTCCATCGCACTGTGTCAAGCTGTCAAAAAGTGTGGCACCGTCTAGACACCTGCACTCCCGATGCTCCATCAGGAGCACACCCCATTTTTTTGCCCCAGATGAGCATACCCCCAAGGTTCTTGAACACCCAGGATTGATCCACTGATTACAATTCGGGATCACTTTTCGGGTCGAATCCTGTCCATCCACCTTCAGGGCGACAGTGGGAAAAACATCGTGGCCGAGTCGGGAGTCGGGGGGTGAACATGCCTTGGTCACGGTCATGGTGTCCAACTTGTTGCTGGGACCGTTTTTGGGGTACCCCTATTTTGAGACATATGGCTGTGTCTTTTCTTAAGAGACCTCCAAAATGGCTTGCAGTGTTCCTGTTGGTTTCCTCGCCAAACCTCAAAAGAAGACACACCCACATTCACCATGGTCAAAAGACATGAACCAAGTTCTGCAGTTGATTTATCCCAGATCCCAGGCAAACGGGTGATCTTAGCTCCGAAATTCCTGCCGACAAAAAAGCAAAAAGAAGAACAGGCACCAACTCCAAAAAGGAGTTGGGCTCCTCCAAAAACAAGGCGAACCTCCCATCTGTTTCCTTTTGGGCGGTGTCCCAAAAAAAAAACGACACCCCCATCTGCTTCAGGACACAAAAAACATACAAGTTCTCCGAAACAACACCCCCATCTGCTGGGCAAAAGTTCTCCGAGACTCTTGGGGGTTTCCCTTCCACACAAAGCCCAAAACCGGAGGGGGGGGGCTTCCCTTCACCTTCGGTGACTCCAAACGTTAAGCCGACGGAGCCATGCGCCTCCGCAAGCTCGGCATCCAGGCGCTGGAGCTCCCGGCGCAAGGCCTACGCGCAGAAAAGATTTGCCTGGTCTATGTACATAGATATGACACATGTGTATATATTTATAGATAGATTTATGTACTTGTTTGTATATTTGTGTATTTAGTGATTTATCTATTTATGTATCTATTCATTTGAGTATGTATTTATTTATTAATTGATTTTTCTCTTAATTATGCATTTATCTGTTTATTTATTTGTTTATTGAGTAATTCGTGTAGTTATTTATATATTTATTTATTTATTTATTTATTTATTTATTTATTTATGTATTATTTATTTATTTGTTTATTTATTTATTATATATATATGTGTATGTAATTGCTGTAATGTATATTGTTTTATAGATGTGGATCTCTCCAAATTAGGCATTTGTGTGTGTATACGTGTATATATTGATAGATAGGTGGAAATAGTGTGCACTTGTGCGTGTGCATGTAGGCATGTATAAACAAGCCGTTGGTTTTCCATCCAACCGAACACGATGCGGGCCTCGGGATCGTCCATCTGCTCCCAGCGGAGTGCACCATGTACTCACACGGCCGTGTTTGGAGGTGCTGCTCTTCTTTCATGCTGGTTGTGGGGTATTGTGGGGTACATGTTTGAAGGCTACATGCTTTTGGTGTGTTTGCTAACGGCATTTTTGTTGAGAACCAGGTGCTCAAAGCTGGGTTTACCCTGTTGAGCCAGAGGACAAGAATTTCTGGGTGTCTTGTCGTTTGGAGACAGCATAGATCTCGCCGGACGCGGGAAACACATCTTGCAGGTTGGGATGCGCCGCGTCTCAAACGGCCTTGAGCACTTAAAGCCTTGAGCGAGTGTGACGCATGGAATCAAAAGTTGGACCTTGGCCGTGGTGAGACTGCGATGGGTCTTCTCCTTGGCTCTACAAGAAGCTGGGGCTCAAGCCCCCGGACCACAAATCCAAGCCACCCACCAAGGGTTGCCTGTCTTGTCAAGAGCCCCGTAAAAAAGCAGAACAACTCCTTGCAACCGATTTGTTTGGGGGCAATTCCAAGCCTTGCCAGTCAGCAAGTCATGCTCAAATCCATGAGTCGATTCATGTGTACTCCCCCAAAAGTGAAGAGCCCACTCTAAAACAAGTTGCACTGCGATCAACATCAAGCAGAGGGGCGGAAGATGTTTTTTCCCACGACCCAGCCCGCCAAACCTAGGAGCTCGGGCTCAAAGCAGGGGGGGTGACATAAAGGGATCCTCCGAACAAATTCTAGCCTCCTGGGTTGCAGGAAAACCAAAAGGCGGGCAATAAACGGACTTTGCTGGCTGGGCTGGGACAAAACCAACGGCTTCCCCCTTCCACTTTACTTCAAGTATTGAAACAATATCTGGAAGGTCCAATAACGGATATGCGTACGCCTCTGCTTCCCCCTGTTCTTCGACCCACCTGTTCTTGGAAACAGTTCTCCAAGGCGATGTCAACGGGGTCAAAAGCAAAACAGGGGTCAAACATTCAAATATGGTTGGGTTGTCCCTTTCAGAGCATTGTTTTTGTCTTGTGGATTTCTTTTAAAACCACCAAGAACGGGCTACCCTCAAAAAACACACGCCCACATGGGTGCGGCTTCAGATTGGCACACCCCTCTGTCTGGACCAGGGCTTGCATTTAAAAAATCCTTCTCGGTTCCAGCTTTATGTTGCCCCATTGAAACACGACCGTGTGGAAAGACTGAACTCCAGTGCGCCCGGAAACAGTGCGCAAGAGGAAAACGCGAAAAATCTCCTCTTTGCCCGTTGCGCTATGGCTTCCTTCTTTGGCACCAAGGCTCAACCTCGCGACTCTCCAGTTTAAGCCACAAGGACCCGCGCGCCCCTCGATTTCTTTCTCCCGACTCCAACTCTGCCCGATTTTGGGGCGCCAGAGGCGCGAGTTGGTGGTTCTACGCGCAGGTGGCAGCGTCACATCTCTTGATGACTTCCACACAGAGTTGGCGGTTCGTCGCCAGCACATTTTCTGCCTGGGCGTACTGTGGATAGACGAAATCCTGCACCACCAAAGAAGAAAGGACAACCATTGTTTGTCGGTATTTACAAGGGCATCATCATTCCAGGGTTTCTCAGGTAGTGCAGAATTTTGTCCACAGTATGAAACGATCGACCAAGACGAGATGGAGACAAATGGAAAGCACATGGTGGGCCAGGAAAGAGAAACCTGGGGCGCTTGCCCCAAACACGACCGCCATTTCGAGGCTCCGAAAGTGGGAGAAACACCATGCATAACATGCTGTAGACTCATCCAAAGTTCTGGCTGGCTCTAAACATTAAGAACTTCGACTTCTATAGCTCGATCCGACTCGATCCTCAGGACATCCCAATAGAGACTCCAACAAATTGCCCTTCAAACATAGCTTCTTTTCTGGGACAATCCTGCGGAATCCAGGGATTTCAACCAGTTCTTCCCATAAACCAACCCACGGCTTGGTCGAAACTTCGTCCAAAGCGAGCTAGGCCAAGTCGTCGTTGCATCCCCGCTGCGGCGCCGAGCGTCGTAGGATCTGGAGCAAACGTCGAAGGCCTCGTCGGTGGGCCCATACTCGCAGTAGTCTTCCAGGAAGAAGGAGAGCTCGCTAGCCTGCGAATCGAAGAACAAATCACAACATGGTCGGTTTGTCTCTGAACAAAACCCCTGAAATCGCGCAAATCGCAAATCATGGGTTGTCTCTAAATGAATCAAGAAATCGTGCGCTGGCCCTGGAAAGCTCCTCTCTTACAACCAAGAAGGGTACCCTGGTTTGTCTATAAATGAACCCTGATTTTATGCATGGTGTCCTTGGTGTTTTTCCTCTATAACAGCCGCCAAAAGGGTAATTACCCTCTAAACAAACGCACCCTCAAGGACGCCCAACGCAGCCCGGAGCTTCGATGCATTGCCGAGAGGCTGCAGCATCGTGAAGCGCCTTGTGCGCCTGGAAGCGAACACTCGCGAACATTCGGCACCTGTGAACCGTCGGACCAGTTGAGATTTTGTGGTTGGGCACCCCAGTAAAGGAAGCCGCCCATTGTTTGAGGGTTTTGTAAAAATAGGGCTTTAACTTTAACCGGAAATCAATTGTAAATACCTTGGTAGGGAATGACCAAGACCAGGCGTTGGGAATGAAGCGGTTTTGGGGATTCCCCTAAAGGAAACCACAAGTAGGAAACCACCCCCTAACCACCAAACCACCAATGAGCGGGAAGCGGAGTTTCGCAAGTCTTCGCTCAAAAGATCACGAAAGGAAGCTCACGGCCCAAAAAAGGGTGATCAAATATAAGAGATATGCGTGCTGGAGCCGTAGGTAGGGAATGCAACGAGTCCGCGTGTTGGGAATGAACCTGAAGGGGATTCCCTGAAGGAAACCACCAAATAGATTAGGGGGCATTCCCTAACCAGTTGGACCCGAAAAAAAGGAAAAGGAAAGGGGGGCCAATTCAAACAAAGGACACATGACCACTGCGAACGAGGATCGGGGACATGCCAAAAAGCAAATATCAAACCATGTAAACTTGAACATGTCTGACTGGTTGTGAAGCATTGCTAGCTGCACTGTTCCAGTTCTTCCCCAGGCGCCATGTCCAGAACATTGCCACTAAGGAAAGAACGAATGAAGAGGATGGAAGCGGCATTGACCCTTTATCATGCGACTCGGTCTTAGGGGGTCCCTGTTTCATACCAGACAGGGAGTTCCCCATGCGAGAAAGAAGGAAGAGATCATCCAGAAGGAGTCAACTAGCTTCCTCGGTGCCACCAATTTCAGCTGTTTTCGCTCTTGCAATAAAGCTCAACGCGCCGCAAAGAGGGGCATTTGCTGGGCAAATGCAAGGCAAAGGCACCTTGAGCTCTGAACAGCTCGGCGACTTCACGATGCACTCGAAGTCCGGGCTGCCTAACCGGAAGTGGCCGAGGAGAGTCTCCCGAAGCGGGGGAGCGGGGGACTCCCCCAAAAAAAGAGTTGGAAAAATGGTTGGAAAAAGGCCTCAACCGCCTGCAAATTCAGACTTGGACCCCGATTCCGGTCCGGGGTTCCCGATAGATTCCCGTCAAATCCACGGATTCCGCGGGGCCGGAAAATCCGTTCAGGGTGCTTCATCCAGGCTACCCGTCAAAAGAAAGGCTGACCAATTTGGGTGAAACTCTTGAACGGAAAACAATGGTGATTCCATGAACCCAACCAATCCTGGGAACCCATATGGCTGTTTTTAGGTCATACGCTTTTGACTGGGGGAAAAAAAAGGAAAAAAAAACGGATTCTTGCGGATTTGTTTCAACCACATGTCGAAAACATATGGGTTTCATACGGGTGATTCACGCAAATGACCGAAAAATCATGGCCATACGGGCAAATACGGCCAAATAATTACAGGAGTTTGACCCGGAGAGGAAAAAAAAAAAGAGAAAAAAAACATACGGGGTGCCAGGATGTATTTCATGGCTTCGATCCCGGGTTTTTTTTCAGCAGACTGCGCCGACCGATCCCATTCAAATCCAGGCGAACACCAAAAAGCGAGGTCCAGAAGCCATCCCCCGTGCCAGATTATTCAAACTCTCGCAAAGGAATCGATCCGAAACCTCCACAGGCCAATTTGAAACCAGAATGGGTGGAAATTCTAGTCTACCCAAAGTGATTCATGAAAATTAGACAAGCCCGAACTCATATCCGACTCGCAAAGCCCGACACCAGCTCCTGCGGTTGACGGAAGAAACCCTGCACCGCTCCAGGGTGTGAACCGCATAAAGGTCATAGGGGACGAACCCCTCGCCCCTAATTCAATGTTGAACAGTGATGCGTGAGGGTGGTGCAGCATTTTCGTTGATTGCATGGTTCGGCGCGTACCTTTCGAAGCACCAAGGTGCGACGAGAATGTTCTCATGTAGGTGGTGCAGGAACTCTTCCGTCAACAGTACTTGAGGAAAAATTGCTTGCAGACTGGATTTGCTTGGCCTGGCACTGAGATTGCGCGACTTTCTCAGCTTGCAGACGACATCGGATTGCTGCAACCTGGAAAGAGCTCAAGTCTTTGCAAGCAACGCTGGATTGTTGCGCTGGAACTGCCAGCTACAGCCTCAATCAACGCTCAGTCAACGCTCAGTCAACGCTACAGTCAACGCTGCAGTCAACGCTGCAGTCAACGCCAGCGTTGCTTGCAAAGACTTGAGCTCTTTCCACGTTGAAGAAACCCGATGCCAGCTGCAAGCTGACAAA